TAAAAAAAAAAAATACACATCATTGTAAAATTAATACATTCATCGTTTCATTCAGAATCTAAAATAAAAATATTTCCATTAACTTAGTACAATCTTTAAAATGATTCCCGTCCCCAGCGTCCCATTAAAAGAAATTAGAAGGGGTACGCTAAAATATTTTTAAAATAGAAGTGGGACTCCGTCCCCCCGCGTCCCCCCCAATTCAACCACTGGTAGTCGGTACCATAATATACTATTCAACCTACTTCAACGATTAGTTAGCTATTAATAGACAATAAAGTCCACTCATATGGTTCATAGGATGAGCTAGCCATAGCCCATAATATTGGCAGATATAATTTAGTATATCATTTATAATTGTAAATTGTAATATTATAGTATTTATCAGTGGCATCATTTGGCGGTGGCAGGGTGATAATTTTTTCCTCACCCTTTTGACAATTTCGAAAAGCACTTGGAGTTTTCAATTTTGATCTCCCGAATACAATAGCTATAGATTCACTTTCCTATCAGAAAAGATGCGTAAGTAGTAAATCGGAGCATTTTTACTACCTACCATAAAAGTTGACGTCAGACAGAAAAAAAACACGCACATTGTAAAACCAATACATTTATCGATACGCTTATAAGAATCTCAAATGTCAAATACCTACTCAAAAGAAAATAAATAGCTCAAACAGAGTAAAAATATTTTTTCATGAAAAATATTGAATTTATATCTAATTAGTACCTATAATGACCATGTATAGTGAGATACTGCAGAGATCAATACCCATGTATTATATACATCATTGCATCGTATATTATAATATATAAATTGATTCTAACTTATAGCCCATCCCTAGCTGTGGGCTGAAGAATAGTTATGACTTTTAAGTAGGGCTTTGATTTAAATGCCCTTAAAAATAAAAAAAACCCTGAAAAAATTACTATTTAAATACCTACACTTGAACGTCTTTAACTTGACATCGAAATAAATTATTGTTAAACAAATTGTAATTTATAATACTTCTCGTCTATATAAAATACTCTACCAATGATCCACATTTTTAAACGAGACATACCTATATATATATTTCATAGCACATACAATTTTGTTTTGAATCTATATTGTGTAACGTATCTCAATATAGGTACGTATATCAATCGGTTTCAATATTTTATTTTGTTCAATCACTCTGAGTACATGAGTATTGAGTATACACCACTCTGTACATAATGGTTTTTGATAAAAATAAATCAGTAGGTATACTGCACATAATTCTGGATTTAATATAATTTAGTAGGTACCTATACACAAACTTGTTATTGCTTATTATCGTGAATTAAATAAAGATATATATATATATTTTTTTTAATTGTTCATTAATCTTTAAAATAATTAAAATTTGTGCAATCACTATACTATGTGACTCGGGTTCGGTTTTTAAAATAATATAATTACCGGAATAATTACTTTATTAACAGAGCTTATCAGTGAATAGTAACAATCCTCTAAATTAACTTTGACTCTCAGGATTCGATTTAGAATAACTATTAATATCGTATAAATTAAACAGTTAAGTAACTCAAATAAACTTTGCCATTAACTTACTTGACGTCTATTATTATGAGTATTATTATTATTATTCAGACGCGGACCGGCTACAGGATGCTACAGCATCCCTTGCCCTAAAATATATTTCGCTAATATTATTAATTATATATTTAAAGACTCTAGACACCTAATGAACAGCAGATAGTTACCAACTTACGATTATTAGTAATCTACGCTTAAATAGAAAGTTTGTTGTAACTTGGTACTTATTTACATTCTTAACAGGTATACCTACCTACAATATTTTTTAAAACTAAATAAATTCGTATATTAATATTTTATAAATAATCTACATGTTTAAATTAGCCCTTTAAATTATGTAGCATGCCGTGCCTATTTTACCTGTTATTATTATATTATTATTATATACCTACTATTATTATACCTTCAGTAGGTCGCGCGGGTTATGAGTATACCTATTCAGTCGTACGGGGTAAAATTTTCCCTCTATTAAACATAAATATTATATACTTTTTTCAAATTTGTTTATTTTAAATTTAATATTTTCGTAAGTATATAACAAAAATAGAATACTAAATGTAATTAATACTTTTAATTTAATATTTGTTTTATTTTTTTACTTATTAAACAAATAAATTATATATTATTGTAAACTAATTAAAATTTATTAACATTATTTTTCATAATATATAACATATAAATAGAAGCCACATAGAAACCCACCATATTTATACCAACCTAAATAATATTAAAACATAGTTTAAAATTAGTGGGGTAATAAATTATCCCGCACGACCAACTAAAGTTTCTTAAATTTAAATTTGTTTTGTGGGTCTTGTGTGTAAGTGTACCTATCATTACTTTGTAGATATACACCAACAGTGAGGTACCTACAGGTATGTGTAATATACTAATATAAGTGGTGTGCTTTGGCGTATGTACCTACTCATTCATAATATATATTATACAATAATAATTTACGGTTATTTTCATTAATTACTTAAATGTTAGGAAATAATAAAAACTATAACAACAGTGTGAATAGAGATTTAAATTGTAAAATTATTGATTTTCTTGTATTTAATTTATTGTCTTATGATATTATATATTTAAATTAAGTTGTAGTATTTATTAGCATTGCGCTTAAAAGAGATAGATATTTTATTATAAACATTTTAATATTATGTAAATTATTTTATTTGACCTAATTTTGGGAAAAAAATTTAAAAAAAAAACCACTTGTTATTATTTTCTAAATAATTGCATGCACTTAAATTTGTTTTTATTATCATTTTAATACTTTTACCAAACAAAAAAATAAGAATAAAAACATCAAATTTAAAGTTTGTGTTATAAATAAAACCAATTAGCTAATGGAATTTGTAAAAAAAATGGTCATATTATAAAATGTACATATTGTATTACACAGACGATCTTTATTATAAATTTATATTGTTTAATGTTTTACTGTTGTTCGCACCGGGAACGGAACAATAATACTCCGTATGCCCCGATCACTGTATTGCTTCGTACCTACGCTACACTCACACACCGTACGACCTGTATTTATTGTGTGTATAATATATTGTGTATAGCACCTCTAAAGAAGTGGACGGGGTCGCCGAGCAAGACTGAAGAGTGCTGGTATGTGGTAGTTGTGTTAGTGTGTATATGTGTTACCAAGACACTGCAACTAATATGACTGCTAGGTAAATCAAATAAATACGCATCTGAACTCCAATGATAATAATATGTGGTAAAAATATATTGAGTACAATCACAATATTATGACATAAAAAAAGAGTAATAATTTTTATAGTACCTATTAATGAATTAAGGCCCAACAAGCGGGTAAGTATAATAATCATGACAATAGTTGCCTGGTTGGAACAATCAAAATAATATATAATAAGTAATAACCCTTATGGCTAAACTCTATATAAAAATAATAGTAAAAAAAAACTCACAATTTTGTGGAGCACGTCAGTCTGGCCAGCTGATCCTAGAATAGCTGGAATAATGTAACAACAGGCAAAATAATAATAATAATTTCAATAAGATATTAGTAGGCCTTTATGGCTTACAATAATATAATAAAATACTCGGTGATTAGCACCCAATAAAAAACAATATACAATTGTGACGATTCACACCCACAAAAAACAACAATATAAAAAACGAAACTGCGATTTGCGCACGTTGCTTGACCTTTTAATGAGTCGCGTTGACGGTCTGTTGCGTACTAGCTGGTCAGAAATAGGGCTAGTGTAAAAATATGAATATTTAGTTGAGGTAAATTTAATGACTGCAAGAAAAAAATATATATAATTGTGTTGCATTTTAAAAATATGTTTAGTTAAATTAATGTAATTTAAGTATATTGAAACGTTTGTATTAAAAACACTAAGTACCTATGCATATTAGGTTATATCTTGTTTGTGTGAGTTTTCAAATGTGTGTGTAGTGAGCGTGGAAATATGTATAATCATGTATACTGTAAACCTATAATAAACCCAGGCATGTTTCTCTCAAATAATTGTATTAGGTGTTTAAAAATAATTTTTCGTAGAAAATCTAACAGAGGACTGTCATTATTTACCGTAGTCATCAAATACGACAAATTAACAAAGTATATAAGTACTTACCTAGTAAAATATTTGTTTTCAGAATTAAAATCAGGCAATTTAAACTAAATTTAATTTTTTCAAAACTATAGGTCTTTTGAACTAAAATTTACGGTAGTAGCGACACCCCTTAAAAGTTGTGGCCAAGATATACATAAATGCTGAACGCATAAACTATTTGTTCACCAATAGCCGTTCTATGACAGAAGCGATGGTTATGGTGCAGCTTACGGACTATGTTAATAATTATAATATATCTAAGTCAGTATATCTACTGATTTATGTACACATCAACGTAATATAATATACACTATACACTGTGATCCGTTTAACGTAAGACACTTATTATACGAAAATTAGATGGTTAAACGATAAAGTATTTTACGTTAAATGGATCACCCTGTATAAGTCTATGAACAATAACATTGCGTCATCGCATTTGAATTCACCCTTTGCGCACCGGGATAGTAAACTAAGCAGTCCCTTCCATAAATATTAATATTAAACTTATTTTACTTTTTTGTACGAATTTTATTATTCACGAGGTTTAAATACAAATTTATCACATACATTTGCTTATGATACAATATTTGTTTTTTTTTTTTTAGTTGAAAAATAAAATAACAAGCCATTTGTAAGAATAATTGACAGGATAAATGGACAACACGGACACACAGTACATAATATACTATAACTATACACTAGGACTAGGTGATTTGAACGTACGCGTTTATGTTTTTAAAGCGTCACAAAACACAATTAATAATATAAGATTGTACTAATATTTATTACGGAAATTTAGATATTGTAATATTATATTATTGCCGGGAAGAAAATGCATCGTCCACAACGGACGGACGAAATGTTTTTTTTTTTTGTGGTTTACGTTTCAAATAGATTCGTATGTAATTCCATGGCATTGAGGTTACCGAATAATCGGATCTGAGTTCGGACTGTAGGCATTGTTGGACCATGGTAGCTGCACGCCAGGCGGGTGCCATATCGGACACTCGCCTCACGGAACCCCGAAGAGTCACTGGAACTTTTGCCATCTGCGAGCTAGGTCCGACGTACCCGTTAGCCGACCACTTCGTCAGAACATAATTTTTAGTTTGTACGAATATACAATCTATTGAAGAAACGTTAAAACAAAACCTTCAAAAACAGACATTTTCGAACACCGTGTGAGAGCGTGAACCTTGACGAACGATAAGTGACTTACACAGATTATCGGACGTATGAAGATAAATTTAATATTCATATCAATGTTTCTTGTGCGAATTTTATTGTGATACAAAATTATTAAAAATATTTGGTATTAACACTGCATATAGGTACATATTTTTTTATGAAATACGATATACCTAGGTAAGGTCTTTTCCGCGTCTTTATTCATATATATATATACATTATACATGTTATAGTTCGTAACATAATGATGATAATATAAAAAAAATAGCTGCATATACACTTAAACTTGGCAATGAGATATCTTAAACACAACATTACTTAATTATTAGATTCACTAGCTGTTAATTGTTATCATTCATTGGCTTTGGATAGAAACTGCCTAATTAGAATACTTTTGTATATTATGATACCTACTAATTTTCAAAATGTTTAAACGACATATATATATATCGAAGTCAATAGGTAATTTTTTTTTTAAATATTTATTGTAGGTTTAACGTATACCGATTGGTGTTATAATAATTAATATATTATAATATCTATGAAAAAGCACAAAAAGAAATTATAATTATTAACTAGTTAAAAAAATGTCAAACTTTCTAACTTATCTACCTATAGGTAGTTTGTGACCATTGTAACAACCTTAATTTTTTTCTAATAAGGCACGACTCTTAAATGGTTGTATATAGACAATTTGAGTGAAATTTTGAGACAAGTTAAAATCTTAAATCATCAGTTGTTCATACTGTATTACTGTAACCATAAAATCTAAAAATATATAAACACAGCTTTTTAATAGACATTTTAAGTTGGAATTTAAACGAAATTAGATATGTAAACGATGAATAATATGTTTAGTTGTTTTGTCTAAAGCTCCTACCAGCTAATTAAATAATATTAGTCTTATGGATTTGAAACTATTGATGTATTACGTATACATTATTATAATATCTTTTGTAGATATGCATAACGATATTATAAAAGCATTTAAATTAATATTCTATGCTGTATTGCTATTGATTATACTACAAACCTATTTAATCACCGATCTATGATAAGAAAGTATTGATTCAAAAGTTAATAACAATATAATATATAATGGCATATCAGTGGCGTAGCGAATCATGTTTTTCAGAAACAATTGCTTCTGGTTTCTGGGGGGTGGTGGTGGGTCATAACCTCATAAAGCCCACATACACGGTCAGTCTTTGAACTTTATTTTGGGTGCTACCCCACCACTTTATTTGAGAATATGAGTATCGTATAGGTACATAAGTTGGAGTAGGGTGGGGTAGGTCATAAATAATTTGTTCGCTTCCATATGATTTAAAGTTCGGCACGCCATACATTATATCATATTAGAACAATAGTGAAAATTTACATTATGCTTGTTACAAAATATGACGTGTTAATGTTATACGTTAATCGTAATGGTACGTAGGTACCTACGTAATGATTACTATGTAGATAATATTATTTATAATATATTAAATTATGGACGTAATGTATAATATTATATATTATATTATTAAATATATTTTATACTCACGAATAATAAAAGTTATTTGACGTGATCAAAAACAATTGGCGAATACGACGGTTGAAGTACGTAGGTACCGACGGAGAACCGTATGATACCGACTGTTGTACAATACTATCGCCGTGAGTACCTATATAGTGACTACCTACTGAGAATGTGTCACGTGATCAACAACTAACTGCGGACTGCTTTTTAAAAGATAAAGAATGCCGGAAGAATAATAATTTGTTATATGGTCGATATTGCAACGAAATTAAGTAACAATTATTTCGATTACGTGTGACAAATGTAAATACTGTAAAATAATACTAAATTTGTAACAATAAACCACTTAAAATAATATTGTTGATAATACTGTAGGTATATTAAAATCAAACCTATATAACCCATGTAGTATGTATAATTATGACGCGCAGAACTGTAGAAAAGGCTTAGCGAGACTGACCCAATCCAGGGGACAGAAAAGTCAGAACAAAATATAGCTGGTACCTAATACGTATGATATTATTTATAATATACATTTTATTTAAACTATCCGCAAAATAGATATTTTAATAGCTACAACCAATGGAAATAATATTGTTTTTCATCTACCTACTATGATTTTATATCATTGAATTAAAATTTAACACATCCATTACAGTGATACCCACACCACATATTATAATGTTCATCAGAGCGCTAACCACTTACCCAAATTTTATATGACTAATTTAAAAAATAAATGTTGAACAAGAACTTTTTGTTTAATATTTAATGTACTTTAATACATATTTTACAAAAAAAAAATAACATAAATATTTATATATTTTGACTTTTTTTTGTATGTGGCAAGGTGTGCAAATGCGATTTCACACTGTTGATTTTGCCAGATGGCCATAAACTTACCTACTTACATAGGTTCAACTAGACATTTGAAAGAGGGGGTGCTTAGCTCTAGGTTTTTTTTGTGATTCAATGGGACCTAACACCATTATTTACCTATATATACAGAGTGTCCCGCGGTCCCGAGGATTTACTCATTGTGATATCTCCTGAGATAATAAATATACCTATCATAAATATGTTTTTTTTATTAGGCTCATAGAGAAAAATATTTTTTTAATTTAAAAAAAATTAAAGATAGCCATTTTATAGAGTTTATTGTTGAGAAAATTTTGACTTTTCAATATTTTATTCGTCTCATGATTTTTAATATTTTTTTTAGTTTATAGGTAAAACAGCAAAAAATCGGGTTTTGTCCGTGCGGCAAACTAATGTTTGTTACTTGGCGTTACTAATGTTGGAAAAAAAAAATAGAAAACAATATCAAACAAAAATGTTATGAAGAAAAACCATGGGAGGATAATATATTTATAGGTAATCACCAGATTAAAATATTGACAGTCCCACTTCTAAGATTTGTTTATATCTTTAACGATATTAGACACTTATTTAATCTTCAAATAAAACTTTTAGAATATTATGTGTCAGTGCGTCACTTTGCACAACAATCTTAAATATTATGGAATAATTACATCACAAGCATATGGCAATTATATATATTCATTACAAATCTTAAATAGCTTAATTACATTTTTGTTAAAATATTCTAGTACTTACCTAGAGATTACGTATACGGTATACCTATAGTCAAGTAACTATAACGATATTACATTTTCTTAAAGCATCATAAACAGGCGCGGATCCAGAAGATTTTAACAGGGGGTGCTCACAAAAAAAAGGTGGGCGAGTGGGTGTCTTTCTGCTGTACAGTAGGTTACAATTGGATCACTGTAGTCTGTAATGGATAGTGTTAAATTTGAATTCAATGATACAATATCACTATATAAGAAAAACTATTCTGAGCGAAGACAGTCAGTCAGGCTATAATATTATTACCAAGTATATTTGATGATATTTTTGTGAATAAAGTAATTTATTTAAATATTTACGTGGAACTTTGTTTTAAATTGTCAATCCTTAGCTATGAAAGCTAAACATTTTATACATTTTTAACTACAAAATAATTTTAAAATTCAAAATTAGACACATTTTGTCAAAATTCAAACTTTAAATGCTTATAAAAAAAATTTTACTTACTATGTATTTTAAAATTTTTCAACTAGTAAAGTAAAAATATAGCAGGAGCCTCGTATTAAATGTTGACCCTTTTTGAAATAAAAAATGAAATTATATTGACAATTGAAAAAAAAAAAAACAAAAAAAATTTTAAATGTCCGTAAACAGCTCAAAACAGGTCAAAATATTTTGTACATTTTATCATGTATGGGAATTGATAAGTTATTATATGGTGTAAAATTCAAGTATCTACAGTTATTCGTGTTTGAATTACAACAAAATAAGAAAATCGCTACATGCCTATACATGAGAAATCAAAAGAATATCCAATGAGGTAAAAATGTAATTTGACTTTCTGGTACATATTTTGTGACTGTTTATTTAATATTTTTCAAATGTCATTGTAACTATATATTAAGAGCCTTGTATTAAATTTTCAAGCTTTTTAACCCAACAAATAAAATTTTATTGGCTATCATAGAAAAAAAACTAAAAAAAACTGAAAATGTATTATTTCCGTAAACAGCTCAAAATAAATCAAAATATTTTGATCTTGTGGATTTTATCGTGTACAGAATTTAATGCTAATTTAGTCATTCAGTGAAAATGTCATGTATCTACGGTTATTTTTTTTAGAGTTACACTAGAAATCAAAATTGATTTTGTTGAAAACTGATTTGCTTAAAAATTCCCATTTTTCCTTAGTTTTTATTTTGTTATTCTAGGCGCTTTTAAAACTATTGGAATTTAAAATTTTGACCTTCTGAATGAACCAACTATATTCCCTTTCCCATCGATCGAGATAGGTACTGTTTGGAAAAAATCGAAGCAGTTGTACTGCCCCAAATACGGTGATGACAGAAACAAAAAAAAATAATTTAAAAATGTATAAAATCATCCACACATCGCTCCTCTCAGAATCTAAAAAAAAAAAATGGTTACATCTTTCTATTTTAGAATTTTGGATACAAACGTATTTTATTAGTGGTCTAGAGTGCCTTAGACGACAGGGGGTGCCCGAGCACCCATAGCCCTCCCTGAATCCGCGCCTGATCATAAATATATCCTTGTGTTGCGGAAATGATGTGACCCCTCTCCACCTAGACTCCCACACGAGTTCTCTCTTGGGCATAATCAGAAAACATTTTTCCTTGTAATAACTATATTGTAAAATTTATATTGGCCAGCAGAAATTTTTTTTGGCCTTCTTATAAAGCTGTTACTTGTTTTCATATACCCTTCAAAAAGTAGAAATTACTC